TAGGTTAAGTAAAGTTTACTTAATTCCATATTCCAAGTAAAGTTAACTTAAATATTTCTAATTAAAGCTACTGATAAATATGTTTAGGTTTTTACTTGGCAAATCATTGTAAATTTACTAGCATTTTCTGAGTGAAAAAAGTTGCCTAGCTTTTTTCAAGTAAATCCTACTCCAAATTATTTTCAGTGTAACTGATTGTGATGTTCCATATTTGAATGTGTATAAAATTTGAACTTTTAATTTGAAGTTTTGTATGCATAAAAGTATTATGAAGTTTTTTTTTTTTTAACAATCAGCTTTTGTGTTTCACAGAGGTCAGTCATGCAGGTTTAAAGCAACATGAGAGTGAGTAACAGATGAAAGCTTTCATTTCTAAATGAACTGTCGCTTTCATGATTAAAATCTTTGTCCTTCTCAAGACTCTTGCATTGAGAATGTTCCCTGACCTCTTATCATCAAATCTGTGACCACAGAAGCTTTGCAGCATTAATGCTAAAGTAGACAACTCATCACTGAATGATGATAAAGAACAAACGCCCTCATGACAAACTACACACATAAAGGTCAGGAGGAAATAAAGACTGCTTACACACGCATCATTTCTAAAACTAAAAAAAAAAGAAAAAGTTCCTCAGAAATATATTTGAAGTGGGTTCTGATGCAGGACAGTGATTGATTGAAATCTCTCATGTGCTCTGTTCTGCTGCAGAGATAAGGTTAGCCGTGTGAATTAATCTCTACTGAGATTCACAACTTTAAACAGACCTGGATCTGTTTCTCGTGATCTTTAAGGCCTTTTGACTTGCAGACTTCAGTTCAGTTTCATAAACTGTGAAACAGAGCCTGCATGTATCAAATCAAGTCAGTTTTATTATTATTTAATGTGCTAAAGCATCAAGTTCCTACTTCAGTAGTTCAAAAAAGCATTTTAGAATGAGTTCTTAGACAGAAGAAGAAGCTCAATTATTAGAGTCTCCAGTTGTGAAACAAGTTTTACTCACCACATCATTCCCATAATTCCATGATATTTCATCATTTTGAGGAGTTTACTGTTGCTATAAATGTTGTGCAAGAAAAAAATCATTTTGAAGGCAAGGCAAGTTTACTATGGCAAATTTTATTTTATTTTAGCACACTGGTATGTCAAAGTGCTTTACAGAATAATAAAAAAAAAAAATTGCATTAATAAAAGGTTTCATAAGAATACAAAAATAATAAAAAATAAAAATTAAATAAAATAGTTAAAATTAAATAAATTTGTTAGTACTTTTCATTTTCACTGGCCTCTTTGTTTTTTTTGTTCTTTTATATATATAGTTTTTTAAACCTCTAAACTACTAAACATTTACTGTAGGCTGTCCATTACAAGTAAATATTTCCCTATATCATTCTACGTGAACTTCTGCAATTTGTATTGAAATAGCTTTTTTTTTATCCTAAAATATCTTACATTATATTACATAACATATTATTACATTTTTATACGTTTTTACTAGCATGATTTCCAAAGTCATTAGCAAGTATTTGAACTTTTTTTTTCTTGTACAGTTGATTTAATCTTCAAGCAAAGCCTCTGAAACTATATTTCAACAAAAATGTGTTTGCTTTAGAACAATTCACAAGAACAATCGCTCACGTTATGAGCAACTTCACTGCTGACATTCTGAAATCAAATCGGTGTGTGTTTTTAAAAGCTGCAGTAATACCTATAGTGATTTCTAGTACAGAGGTTGAGTTTGGTCTCAATATCTCAATATCTTCTAGTGGTTATGTGCATGATGTCAAAGATATTGCAAAGAGTTTGAAAGTTTTTGAGGTGATGCTTAAATCCCAGAAACATAGTGTCGGCCCAGATCTGGTATGCGTGGAATCCACATGTACCAGATGTAGGCCAGATCTGGGCCGACACTATGTTGACTGTTAATGTGTAGATACACCTTCTAGTAAAAACAACAAAAAAACTCAGTCAGCACAAATGTTTCACAAATCATTTCCTGTATGAACTTCCTGTAGTAATGAACACACAGTTTGAGGCCATGTAAGAGTCTCTACACTCGCACGCTGAAGACTGGAGTTGGCACCGTTTTCATTGTCAAATCTTCACGTCAGATTCACTCTTTGTATCATTCCCTGGATCTGCTTCTCTGTTCTCTCCTCTCCCCCAGGGCCTCTAATGGGCCGAGTTTATCTGTGTTCTGGTCGTCTGTGTTTCTTCACTCGGTGTACCGCACTGGTGCCTCTTGAACGGATGCTTTGCTGTCAGATTGAATTTGGCCGCTGCGTTCGGAGATCTGGTGTGATGAGATCATGATCATGCTCCGCAGACTCCTGTAATCACTTCAGCTAAACATTGTGTTTGTAATGCATCAGGGAGCCTGTCAGCGTCTGCCGTGTGCTAATGCGTTCACTAATGTACAGTAAAGTGGCTCTGTGGAAATGATTTTTTTCAGTCTGCTTTTTTTTGCCGGCCACCACTGTTATCTAAAGACCACAGACGTCATATACGCTGGCTCACACCCTCTTTATGAGCGTCTAATATCTAAAGCATCTCCAAAATGCAAGCAAATGTGTTTGCTCTCAATATTCAGCTGCAATTTTGGTTGATAAAAATTATATTATAGTTATATTAGGGCGGGATAGAACCTGAAACAGCTTCACCAACGAGTCATCTGTACTGGAAATACAATACAATACAATACAAAAACATTTATCTATATAGGCCTAGAGACATTGACTTTTGATGATTCTCAAGACCAAACATTACCTAGGAGGTTATTAATACATTTTGTTATACGCTTCTCTTGAATACATTTTTTCAGCTTTTATTTTGTAAAGATTCACTTTAATAACCAAAATCAGCCTCACTAAACTTTCAAACTACCTCTATATTTTTGTATATTGAGCAGGACATTTAAAACGCAGATTTTACTTAAAACCAATGACGGAAACGTTAATACTGTACAGTTTTGTAATCTGTAATGTCATGTGAAATTATTCACTGGATTGTAGTTCATTCCTGCAGAAAACACGTAAAGTACCTTTGTATTTTTTAACGGTGTTCTCATATTTTTTGCTTCAAATCAACATTTATAATGTCTTGATTTATCTCAGAGATGGTTGATTTGGTTAATGGCTTAGATTTTATTTATTGATTTAAAAAAAAATCTCTATGGAAGAAATTAATGGGAAAACAGAACAAATACTGCTGAAAAGTGTCATTGCTCAGCTATGCTTTTATCTACTGACTTACAAAACCATAGATTGAGCAGAAGTCATTATCAAATTAAATTAAACATGTTAGAAGTTCATTTGATGTGAGGTCAGTGTGAAGAGACAATAGATGCGTTCATTACCCTTTAAATTGCGCAAATTGAAATTGTGAATTCAAAATACGCCCAGTTGAAATCATTTTTTTTACGCTTGCATGAGTTGTTTTTTCAGCCAATTCTTTTTGCCGGCATGGTCTGTATTTTTGTAATCACTTTTTGCGAGAGGAAAAAATTACGTTTTAGTCACATAACATCGGTTGAAGCGTTATTGTGAAACTACATTTCGCAGTAGTTTTTATCGACATTTAGAAAATGTCGCAAAAGTTTTTGTACAAATCTGTAATGGAGACGCGGCTAATGACACATACAATGTTTGGTGTCAATATGCCAAAAACTGTTGCATAGTTAAGCCCAATTTATACTTATGTGTCGATCTCACGCCGTAGCTGCGTCGTAGGCTTTGTGTTAGTAGCGCGCTTACCCTGACGTGCACCTCCCCAAAAATGTAACAATGCGTCAATTCTACGCGCTGTGATTGGTCTGCTAGAACCGCTCCCTGGCTTTTACATGCTCCCTCTGCATGTGTAATTGCGCGTCAACGCGGACAACGACGCAGAAGTATAAATGAAAACCAACGCGTAGTCTATTGCGTAGAGGCTCCGGCGTAGGTCCGATGCAGAAGTATAAATCAGCCTTAACAGCCTCAGAATCAGCTTGCCACTATGCCATCAAACTTGTTGAGACATTTTTTTGGAGAATGGTTTAGTCAATCAAAAAATGTTTAAAGTTTTTTTTCGGTCTGAAGATGGTCTGAAGATGATCTGAGCTGATTTTGGTGAAAATTGGACCAACGGTCTAGGAGAAAGAAAGGTTTTCAAAGAGCTTCGTATATAATTTTTCCTCGGTATGACTCAATGATAAATACCAGTTTCATTAAAATAGGCAAAATTAATCAAAAGCTATTAGAATTTTTTCAATTCCATATAAAATTTTGACCAGAAGGTGTTGCTGTTCTGAGTACCTTCAGGGCATGGTCCCGATGACACACACCTAGTTCGTAACAATATGCTAATGCAGTCATAAAATTCAGCATTAAATGATACAATTCAGAATGGCTGATGTGGGAATAGGGATCAGTTGAATAGTTATGATGCCTTGAATCAAAAGATCCGTTCAGAAGTTGTAAGCAAAAAAGCCATTTTTCATTTCTCCTCACCAGTAGGTGGCGCTTTGCCGAAACACTTCATGTAGCCTCACGTTATGACCTGTAGCAAAACTAGTCTCGATTCGCTAAAGCGGAGCAGAGATACAGCCTCGTATCCAATTTGGCGTGCTCTTCGTCAAATTCGTTTGCGCGTTTTTCAAGAACGGTTGGGTTTATCAAAAAGCTTTATTTAACTTTTGCCAGCATGGTCTGAAGATGATGTGAGCCAGTGTTGGTGAAAATCGGACAGACCGTCTAGCACGAGTTACAAATGCAGAGTTTTAAGGTGCTTGGCCCCTAAAACTATTCAAATGGCTATTTAAAATTGTAACAATATTTCACTGTTTTTACAGTATTTCTGATCAAATAAATGCAGCCTTGGGGATCATAAGAGACTTCTTCAAAAAACATTTAAAAAAAAATCTGACTCCAAACTTTTTGTAATGCCACAACCAGTATGTGTGTATAAACAGTGTTTAAAACTTGCTTCACACAATTCACTGACGAAATGCTCTTCTTTTCCTCTTCAGATTGCCGAGATGGCTTTAAACCAAAGCGAGTTCTTCTTCTCCTCTTCTCTCCAACACATCACTCCGTCCCCAATCCCAGTTGCCCTTACCAGTCCGTTTTCGAATTCAAACAATACAATCTTGAGCAACAGAGGCGGGGTGATCGCCGGCGCCACCATCCTCAGCCTGGTGTTTCTCCTCGGCGTTCCCGGGAACATCTTCATCGTCTGGAGTATCCTGGCCCGAGCTCGCCGGCGCTCCGTCACCACCCTCCTGATCCTGAACCTGGCCTTCGCCGACGGGTTCCTCATGCTGCTGACGCCCTTCTTCGTGGTTTATTTGGTTAAGCGGAGTTGGATTTTCAGTCTGGCGCTGTGCAAAGTGCTGTTCTACCTCTGCTGCACCAACATGTACGCTTCCATATTCCTGATCACGCTGATGAGTTTGCACAGGCTGGTGGCGATAGTGTGGCCGAAGCGCGTGGCTGCGGTGACGGACCCCCGGGCGCTCACACGGGTCATGGTGGGACTCTGGGTTCTCGCTCTGGGACTCTCAGTGCCCGTTTTGGTTTTCAGGACCACGGAACGAAACACGACAGAGAATCTCGTGTGTGACTGCAATCACACAAAACCACAATATGTGAGTCTGTGCTGCTCTAATATTTCAAACCGAAACATTACACACATATTCAAGAAGTCAGAACTTTCTCTTCACAAAGAATCCTGAAAAGTAAAATGTATTGTGGTTTCCACAAAACTATGGAGCAGCACAACTGTTTCCAACATTGATAATAATCATAAATGTTGTTTGAGCATCAAATCATCAGTGATTTCTGAAGGACACTGAAGACTGGAGTAATGATGGTAAAAATTCAGCTTTGATCACAGGAATAAATTACACGTTACTATATATTCACATAGAACACAGTTAGTTTAAATTGAAATACAATTTGACAATATTACAGTTTTTACTGTATTTTTGATCAATTTAATGCAGCCTTGTTGGGAATAAAAGACATTTAAAAACATTTAACATCTAATCCACCCAAACTTTTGAACAGTAGTGTATATGAGATGACAAGATGATGAAAAGTCATCTTAAAATATAATTTCTCCTCATGCGTAAATAAACTTCCTGTGTATTTTCAAAATACATAAACATTCACTACACCAACAATAATAAACACATAGTTCTGATTTATTTTGTCATTGTTAAATTGTGACTGATGCAGTTACAGGGTCTTTCGCAAGTATTATTCACCCCCCTGAACTTTTTACACATTTTCTAGCTTTACAACCTGGAATTACGAGTTGGAGTTTGATAACATGTCTGAATGTGCAAAATAATGTTTTGGTGTAACCTAAAAGTTATTTGAGCCTCAAGCAAAATCTGCTGGCTGTAAGTCTGCACCAGTTCTTGAGGAAGCATCTTTGGCTGCAGCTCAGTGTTCCTGTGTTCTGGGAATGCTATCAGTTTCGCACATCTTCACGCCTGTAATGTCTGGAAATCTTCCTTGGAAAAACTGCCCAGCCTCTGTCGGGTTGGAAGGGCCTGGCTTTAACTGGGCCCTTCTGCTTGTATATCATTCTCATGCTGATTTATCCGTTTGAACCTTCATGTCAGTGAAGAGCTTCTCCATATGTTTCTGCCACAAATAGTGTTTTGTGCCAAAAACATTTGGCAGAGATCTATTTTTATATTTGTAGTGTGTCCAACAAACCTTCCGGCAAACTTTTTTTCTATAAACAAACCCAGGATAACGCTTCTCTAAAAATGTGTTCTCATACTTGAGTCAACAAAACTTTTTTTTTTTTTTTTTTTTTTACCAGGAAAAGTGAAGAGTTTTCCGTTAAAACGGCCCCTAAGTAAATAACTGATGATCGTTGCAACGGAGGTGAATCGATCAAAGCTAACTTTAGCTGGAGATTAACTTTATTCTTGAGCTGCTGTAGAACCAGTACAATCTCTGTTACTTTAATTTCCTATTATCACTGTCCTGATAATGTCCACTGTCCACAGGAACAATCCTTTGCTAAAAGCGCTATATAAATGAAAATGACTTGACTTGATTGTAATGCTGCAAGTGCTGTTTTCCTGGAATGTGCCTGTTTTTCTATACATTACCGTTTAAAAGTTTGGGATGGGTAAATGTTTATTTATTTGTTAAGTCTCACCAAGGCTGCATTTATTTGATCAAAAAATACAGTAAGAAAACGTTATACTGTTTAAGATTATTACAATTTAAAATAACCATCTATGTAAATATAATGTAAAATGGAATTCATTCCTGTGATCAAAGCTGTATTTTCAGCATCATTACTCCAGTCCTTCAGAAATCACTCTAATATGATTTGCTGCTCAAGAAACATTTATTATTATTATTACCAATGTTTAAAACTGTTTTTCTGCTCCATATTTTGGTGTAAACCATGATACTTTTTTTCATGATTCCTTGATGGATAGAAAGTTAAAAGGATATCTCATGACCGTTGTTGTTCATCTGTAGGTGGCGATGCAGTACGGTATGGAAACGGTGCTGGGCTTCTTGTTGCCGTACGGTGTGATCATAGGCAGTTACGTGTGTATCTTGCGCAGAATCCGCAAGACGCGCTTTCGCAGACGCATCCGCAGCGAGAAACTCATCCTGGTGATCATCGTCACCTTCGGGCTGTTCTGGCTGCCGTACCACATCGTAAACATGATGCAGGTGTGTGTTATACGTCAAAATGTTAATCAGAAATGTCTCAAATGTGAAAACGCTCTAAAAATGTTTTCCTCACACAGGCGGCTGCTGCTTTACATCCAGAAGGTTCTACAAAAGATAGGTGAGTACCTTTAAAGGGGTCATATAATGCCATTTTTGTACAAGCTAGTATGATTCTTTAGGGTCTAAATTAAAAGTTTGTAATATACTTTAATTAAAAATTCTCATTAGATTTGTAAGAAAACACTTATTTTACCTGGTCAAAAACACCTCTGTAAACAACTCTGAAAACATGCCGTAATGTACCCTGAGTGTAAACCTTAGACACATTCATTGTGAAGCGTGCAGCTAGCGATTTGCAAAGATTAATATAAATATTAATATGAAGTTTAATAAAACGTTACACTCACTTCAGTTCTTCTGGAGGTTCAGCAGGAACACGAATAGCTGGTACCGATCCTTTTTTCATGAGCAGCTTCTTAGCAAAACCAGCTTTATACTGATCCTCGTTTATAAAGCAGTCTGGTGAGAAATGATTCGCGCAAACATGAGAGCATTGACGTTGCTCGTGGGGAATATTCCCTTCGAAAACAAACTCAGCCACTGCGTCTTCAGCGGTTCGGATTTAGGAACATTAAAATGACTGCTGTGTTCGTTATTACACCCAAGAACAGAACACCACAATCGCTTAGACGCCATTCTGCTCATAGACAGTGCTCCAGCATATCAACAATGACCGCGCCGGTCCGCGCAGACTATGATTGACCGGACGAGCGAGGGCGGGTCTGTGTTGAAACGCTCCTGTCAATCAACAATCGTGGATGGATTTTTATCATTATATGATGGTTGTGTACAGGCACTGCCAACACACATTTCAGTACAATCAACTTGTAAAAGTGCATGTACCATTATATGACCCCTTTAAGAAAACGCTTGCGGCGTGACCTCAGTAACACCGGCTAATTTACAAACTCATTTCTGTTCTTCCTCCGACAGACTAAAGAAAATCTCGACGTCACTGCGAGCGCTCACCTCCACCGTGGCCTTCGTCAGCAGCTGCATAAACCCCATCCTCTACACCTTCGCTGGAAAGTCGTACATCCGACGGGAAGGCGTGGCTTTCATGGCGCGGCTGTTCGAGGCAACGGCACTTTATTCGACGCGGAAGATCCGCCAGAGCAATCAGAACAGCCGAGATAAGGACACCGATGAAGCAGGAAGTCTCAAAGACAAAGACTCCGATTCCATCACCACCCCTCACCCGAGCACCATTATTAAAGTTGTGCCGCAGAAAAACGGAAAGTGAGTGGAAAATGGCTGTGAAATTCAACTTTGAGAGTTGCGCTTTCCAATGTTGCATGTGGGTTAATCAAGACAGCTTGTGTTTTTGTAACAGATGAAAGTGAATACAAGTTTCTTTTGTAAAATTAAAACTGTGTACCAATTGTGTACCAAAAAGCCACAATAGAACAAGGAGACCAGTGCCTAACTCAAACCATCACCTGACCGGCGGCTGTAGGCTCTTTACTCTTTGAACAAGGAACAGGTTCAGACACATGAACGTCCACAGAGAACTGGAAGCTGTATTTAATCCAGCACTTTCAAAGATCTGCTTCATGTCTTTGCCCAGTAGAGGGCGTCACACAACTGAGAGACGGATGAACTGCTACAGAAACAGCCCGCTTGCTCATCACCACTAACGGTTTGCATGGTTGTAAATAGTGTTGTTAGTGTGTAAATAGTTTTTTCTTATGCAAATGTTTATCAATTTTTTTCTTATGCAAATGTTGATCACATTTAGAATAAGTAGATATGTTGTAGAATTTGGCTATTAACATGTAACATTTCAATTAAATTCTGTTGAATTGAACGAAAGTTTAAAAAGGTTCGTTAAATTTGCTTAACGAAACTCAAAGATCCGAGTCAGTAAAATTATCCGAACTTCTCATCACTAATTGTAAACAAAGATTCAAGACTGACCAATGAGAAGAGTTTGGTCGAGAACTGATATTTGAGAGGGAACTCTGTCATTAGGCCTAATAACCAGCATGGACATCGAATTCCTATTTTCTTTTCAAATTAATTTTCATGACTTTTCCATATCATTTCCAGTGCTTATTGGTTAATATTTTATTTTAAATTAAATTTAAATACATTTTTATAATAATTTGACAAGGGTTGCATCAGCAGAATATATATAGAGAATCCCATGACAATCAATATTCCCTGTTTCTCAGGCCCAATCGAACCCTGATGACCGTAAAAGAGGGTGTAATCAGGAAATTAGGGTTTAATTGAGACTATTGTTGTCATGGAAACGATTAATGATGTAAATCAAAGTTTGAGTATTTATGTTTTTTAATCATGTCTGGATCACTGTACAAATGTTTACACTAATGGCATCATTCATATTAAATGTGATGTTTTACACTGATGCATGTCTGCATGTGTGTGCGTGTTTTGTGAGCTTAGTTGAGAAATGAAATGAGAAACTGGAGCACTTCAGTTGTGACCCATCGAACAAATATTTGTTCTAAGAATGTTTTCCAAAACATTTAGTTTTGGTTATGGAAATGTTAAAATTTCCAGTTTGTATGATGTTCCTGAAACATTATTTCAAACATCCGGACGCCTGCTGTAAACAAGCAGAATCACTGAAGGAAAGAGAAACACAAGAACACAAACTACAACTGACTTCAGCCACAGCCTTAGGTGAAATCAACTGAAGATAAAATGAGTCATTATATATCCCAAGATCTCAGCAGAGGAGGATTAAACAACTCCACAAACAGCATCACCAGCTTCCACCTTTATTTCTCTCATAGAAAGTTATAGAATATATATCTATTTAGTTACATAGAAGTTAAATTTGAGAATTATCAGAGGTTTAGATGTTTAAATGTTTTATTTGTTAAATAAGCACCATTATGATGATCGGTGTTTGCTTTAGTTGGGATCTTGACCCTTGACTTTTGATAGTTTATTTCTCTTTCAGCAATTTACGTTTTTCAAAATAATGATTCTGCATTGATAAAGAAATTGATACACATATATAAATATGTGGTGAAGGATTTGGTTTAGGATTTGGATGTTGACTGGTGCTCTTTTATAGGTTAATGACATTAATTAGGCGGCATTTACAAAGCGGAGATCGGAAACCATTCAGCTGCGCACAATTTTAAGATTATTTGCGCTTTATAAATTTCACTTCTGAAAGAGAAGTTTCTCACGTACACTCGTACGCACATTTGAGAAATGAACGCAGGATCAAATAATTTTTACGCAACATTTTATAAATGGACCCCAGATAACGTTTGACAAACAATCTATTAACGTTACCAGAAGAACGTTTGTTCATAACTTTGAGAACGTTGCCAGAATGTTAGGCAAAGTTATGTTCCCTGTTAGTTGGGTATTGGTTGTTGTTGGTGTGAATATCAGCCGTGTTGATTTAATATCTGTTAGGTTCATGTAGCCTTTAGTGTGTGTGTGAACTGTAAATATCATTGACAAATCAACTGTCTGATTATTATGTCCAGATTGTAATATAAAGATGATGAGCAATGTTCGGAAATGTATTCTGAAAACGAGGAAAGAAAATGATGCTCAATAAATTATTAATTTTCTGCTGTTCTCTGCAGAATGTCATTCATCGTTTTTGTTCATTTCCAATTATTTTGAAGGGTTAGTTAACCCACAAATGCAAATTCTGCCATCATTTACCCACCCTCATGTCGTTCCACACCTATACGACTTTTGTTCATCTTCTGAGCACAAATGAAGATATGTTTAATGAAATCGGAGAGATTTTTGTCCCTCCATAGACAGCTACAAATACAACTTTCAAGCCCAAGAAAAGTGGGCAAGACATCATTAAAGTAATCCATGTGACTTCAGTGGTTTAACCTCAATATTATGAAGTGATATGGAGAGCTTCATGCGCAAATAAAACAAAAATACCTTTTTTTTTTTTACAAAATACTATTCTCCAAAGCGTGTTCATGAGAGAACCACGGCGCTTACTTTAATGATGTCTTGACTAACTTTCTAGGGCTTGAAAGTGGAAGTTGTGTCGACAGTCTATGGCGGAACATAAATCTCTCAGATTCAATCAAAAAGATATTAATTTGTGTCTCGAAAATGTACAAAAGTCTTATGTAGTTTGGAATGACATGAGGGTGAGTAATTAATGACAACATTTAAATTTTTGGGTGAACTATCTCCATCCTTCCCTCGGGTCATTTTGGCCCGAAACTCATTGCGCCAGGTGTATGATAGGACCCATAATCTTCTTTTATCTTCAGTTTATTTTAGGCTGTGTGGTTTTCAGTCAGTTGTAGTTGTTGCGTTTCATTTTCTGAGAGTGGAAGCATGATGTTGAACCAACATCACATTGTAACTGTCAGGTTTGAGTGAAGGGAGTGAGGACTCAATTGCAGGAGATAGTGATGTGACGTTCGGCACCGAGGCTTTGAAGCTTGTATCAAAAAAAACGAAACATCTCACATAAACCACTGTACCGGAGCTTGATTCGTCTTGCCATAACCATGTGATCAGTAATGTCCGAAGCTTCGTGTCGACCGGTTTCGACACACAACCACGTGACTGCTTCATATTCTGATTCAAAAATAGCGCAAACCCCTTGCGCAGGTTTCGAGTGTCATGCGCTTCGGTAGTAAAAAGAGGCCGTTTGGAAGTCTGGCAGCATTTTCAGGTCGTATCAAGTCCCATGTGAGAGAATATTCTCAAAGGCAGGGGAAGTAGTAAATAAAAAAAGTAATAGACTTAGCCGGCCCCTCACACTGTTGAACAAGTCCTGTTCCTTAATAAAAATCTTTAATTTCTTCAATTACACAACTCCCCAGTTCACAAGTACTTTCACTACCCAGCCTTTCACCATTCCACAATAGCTTTCTTTTATTTTGATTATATACAGTATGCCTACAGTTCATTTGTCCTATGTATTAATTATTTCATAAATTAATTCATAGACTAATTCATACATTGTGTAAACATCAACACTAACACTGATGATTTTTATTGCTTTGTGGTTTTCATAGCACAAAATGATTTATGACATAAAACAATAATTAAAAAAATTGGGAAAGGTAGCTTTTCCACCTTTTGACCACAAGATGTCGTTAGTGTGCACCGTGTTGAAAAGCTTCGAACCAATTTACGATACACTTGAGGGGAAAGCCTCAGTGCTTCACAAAGCTTAATTTCACCATCACTAGCAGGAGAAATAATGGGCTTTATTAATAACATAAAAACATAAAAACGAAAATTACCCCGTGGGGGAAAACAAGGCAAGCAAGACTTAACTCGACACGACTTTACTAAAGCAGGGAAACACTCAAGGTAACATTTAATGACGATCCAGCACAGGACTGCAAACACTAGGAGAATAAATAGGGAGAGCAAATAAAGCAGGTAACAAGCTGGACAGGTGTGGCAAATTAATCAATAATCAGGAAACAACATGGGATAGACCATAGATATCCATAATCAAGGCTAGATGTCTCGTCCGCGCTGCTGGCCAATGGAGGTCGACGTCCGCACCTGGCGGCCATCTTGCCACAGGCAGCTCGCTCACTCGTAACATTGATTTTACTGGTGCATGTACTTTTTAAATAACCATAACTTGCTCAATTTTCGACTGATTTTCAAACGGTTTGGTTTGTTATAAACGTCAGAGATGTAGTTATGACACTGCATACTTAGGAATAATAAGTGTATAAATTAATAATCATCCAGAATTATAGCCACGTTAATAACGTTTGTAAGAAACCAAACCGTTTGTAAATCCGTCAAGATTTCAACGAGATAAGAGTATTTGTGTTCGTGCTGATCACTCATCTTACATCAGGCACCACAGAGCCCGCCAGAAAGCTTGCCTGTGACAAGATGGCCGCCGGTGATGCCGATAGAGACTCCGCCGTAAGACATCTAGCCTTTATTATGGATATCTATGGGATAGACAATCAACAGGAGAGCACATGGTACAAGGAAACACACATGACAAACCATGTGCTCACACAAAACGAGACATGACCACGCAGCTAATGAACACTCATAAGCCATGACAACATGAAAGCACACAGCTAGTGTAAAACACAAGCTGTGTGCTACACAGCACAAGACAACATTACAAGAAAGCACGAGGCCGATGTAAACACGAACTGCGTGCTACACAACACACAACAACAAGATAGAGCGCACGAGAACGAGCAAAAGCTCACCCTGTGCGCTCACGACAGAATACAAACACGCGGAGCATGTATGTCTGAATCCCGACACAGAACCGAAACCAAACTACACTGTCGTGCCGTGTCCAAACACCATGTCCCGCACGTGTAACAAGGCATACAGACAAGAGACAGGATCAGGAGTGTCAGAGCTCTGTCACAAAACCAAGAAATAAACTAGACAGAAGTGACAGAACCCTGACAGTAACATTGACTCAATGCCATTACAATAGATTTTTGGATGAAATTTAAAAAAATGTTCAACATTAATTACAGGTGCAAAAGAGATGTAGATTCAATGCAGAAACTCTTAAAAAATATTGGGTGTCATTATTTTAAAGGGGGGGTGAAACACTCAGTTTCAGTCAATCTCATGTTAATCTTGAGTACCTATAGAGTAATATTGCATCCGTCATATCTCCAAAAAGTCTTTAGTTTTATTAAATTTATAAAAGAATGATAGGCTGTACCGAGTCTTTCCGGAAAAAGCCGAGCGGGTGGAGGCGTGCCGTGTGGGCGAAGCTAAATAATCACGCCGAAGTTACACGCCGATAGACACACACAGATATATGAAGCAGTTCTACTCACCGCCTGCGGTTCCAACGCAAGACCATTAACCTTTAGTGTTGGGACTGCTCCATCCTTGAGAACTAAACGATTAGCAAATCCGGCTTCGAACTGGGCATTGTTTATAAAAAAAAATCATCCTCGAAATACATGGAACAAACGAGAACACTTGCACAACTGTGTTGATGTTCTGGAAAAACAAACTCCATCCACTGGTCCCTTAACGCTTGATTCTTTGGGAATCTGTGCAGTGTTGTCTTGCCTTGGCAACCGAAAACACACTTCTTTGGTGACATTCGAGCGCAGCCGATGCACAGCGCTTTGATGGGCACAGGTTACGGCTATCGCTCTACACAGGGCCGGCTCTAACCCTTTGGTTGCCCTAGGCGGGGTTGAGTTTTCAGTGTGCAAATTGAACAAAGAAAAATTCAAACCTCTTTTAATTACAGTGTCTGTCTTCATTACACTACTACATAATAATAGATATAATCAGGGGCGTCACTAGGATTTTCATTTTAGGGGGGCTAAGCCCCCAATATGATTTTTAAAAAATAAATAAAAAAATGTAACACTTTAGTTTAGGATCTAAAGATCACTATTAACTATTTTCATTACGATGCAAAGGCACGGTTTTATAATAACTGTCGACCCAAATGTGAGGTAAGGCAAATAAGGGGGTTCGGGGTCTCCCCGAGAAAATTTTGATTTCTCTGATCTACATATGTGCATTTTAAGATGTTCTGAAGGCCAAAAAACTTGGATAGTGGGCAGCTGATTATTTTTTTCTCCTCATTAGCATCACACTCTTTTTCTCTTTGTTTTTCTCTTGCCCTGTCTCTTCCCCTCCTAAAGCTGAGCTTTGACTGATATAGGCTTTTCATTTTTGTCTGTCAGTGAAGAAAGTAAACATAGGGTAAACTGATAGGTTGATTTTGCCTATGAATCATTTTCTCAGACGCGTTTATTTACTGAAAGCTACTAAAGGTATTTAAGTTTATTAAATGCATTCACAATATGTAGGCTACACATTTATTATTGATCTTATGCCTAATACAGGGCCGTAGACAGGGCTTTATAATCACAGAGGTCCTAAATTTGAGGTTGGTAGGGGGTTCAAATTTTTTATTTCTCTGATATGTGCATTTCAAGACGTTTGAAGACCAAAAAAAGGATAAGAAATAGCTTTAAAACCATGTCAGTGGGCAGATTATTTGTCAATACCTGCTCTCTTCTCATCTCCATCACTCTTCCTTTTTTTCTCAGTCTCTTCGTCCCTTTCTCTTCCCCTCCTAAAGCTGAGCTTTTTTAATTTACTAAAGGCTACAATTTGTATTATATCCTCAATATGTACACATTCATTATTAATCTTGTGCCTAACATGATGAAAACGGCTTTGTTAATGTTTCTTGTAAACTAATTATTACATTACATGAGTCACGTTACATAGGCCTATTTTCAGTTCAAAATGGCGAAATTAGACAAAACTATATTAGTTTGCCTGCTTATTTTTTGTCATTCGTTAAACATTTATGACCTAAAACAAGTAAAATATGAAATGTTAAGTTTAGCTACTTACATCTTATCTCGCAGACTCGCACTTGACCGTACGCGTCGAGTCGCACTGTTAAAATTCGCGCTCAGCAGCGTCTGTGAACATAAAGCCCGCCTACTTTGATTTGATTGGTCATCTCAAATATTCTGACATTGACGAGCAGTGACAGACCAATGAGGCTCAGATGAACACACACATGAACACACACACCCTGTCCTCTGTTTCTGACGTGCTCTCTGCTCGGCGCCGCTGCGGATTGAAGATGAAGAACGCGCTGAATCTGATTATAACAAGACTGAAGCGAACACGAATTTGTGTAGCCTACATTAATCTCACATTTTTAGGGGGGCTAGGCAGAAGTTTAGGGGGGCTGAAGCCCCCCTAAAAAGGGCCTAGTGACGCCCCTGGATATAATATTAATCCCATGACAGTAATTGCAATAGGCTATATTGTAAAACAAATGCACTGAAAAATAAAGGAAACTTTCATGAGTATTGTACAAATTTCTATACTTGAAAGTAAGTTATATATTTGGAAGTAACCCAGCGCCGCCAATTAAGCTAAGCAAAACAAAACAAAACGAATGGGCCACCGATGTACGAGTTTTATGGGCCGTTAAGACAAAAATAGAAAAATAAAAGTATGAGATGTATCGGCCCAAAAAGCACGGCGGGCCCGCGGGAATCTCCCGGTTGTCCCGATGGCCAGAACATTTGACACCTTAAATGTACAACCTAGAAGCTTTGCGCAATATCACTACGTGAAATATCACGGCCGTACAGAGAAGGAAATGATTAGTTGAATAAAGTCGTTATTTTTGTTTGTTTTTTTGCGCACAAAAAGTATTCCTGTCGCTTGATAAACTTAAGATTGAGCCACTGTAGTCACTCGGACTATTTTAACGATGTCTTTACTAACTTTTGGGCCGGCAAGTTTCAATCCCTAAGAAGCCTATGGAGGAGTGATCCAGCTCTCAGATTTAATCAAAAATATCTTAATTTGTGTTCCGAAGATGAACGAAAGTCTTACGGGGTTGGAACAACATGAGGGCGAGTAATTACTGACAGAGTTTTCATTTTTGGGTGAACTAACCCTTTAAAGGGAACCTGGTGCAGTTTTTTGTATTATTTCTTTCCATGTACAACTGCACTGCAAACAAAAAGCCTGGTCGGTTTCATTCAGATCACATAAAGCCAAAATCCAGTGAACAGCAGATCCAAGGAAAACACTTCAGCACCGGTAGATCTGTGAAAATGAAGCCACTGGACAGAAATCTCCTGCACTTCTGTTCTAATGTTGCGAGTGAAATGTCCCACTCTGATTACGACAGTCTGTGGAAATGCTCACTCTCCGCTGTTATGAAACAATGCGAGTCGTTTGGAAATCGAAGTACACTGCAATTATCAGTGATCACAGGACTCCTCGTCTAAATCCATTCAAAACAGAGAGAAATAGGGATGAAGAGGGAAAAAGATGGAAACTGGGAAGACCAAATGCAACAGAAAGAAAAGATACCAAAATAATAAATGAAACTGCAAATTACATTTTGTAAGTGTTAAGTGTTCTTTTCTCTTTCCTGTCTGAGGCAATTGGTCGTTTCTCAAGTCGTGCAAGTGAAGAGGAAGCCATGACGTTAAAAAAAAAAACACTATTTAAAAGATGTTAATGATAAGGAAACTGAGACACTGGATAGAACTGATTCTAAAACAACTACTGCCACGCTAATATCCTCGGCTGCGGCTTTCATACTACAAGACCTACAGTACAAACCAGTCCATGTGATTATACGCTCTCTCTCATTGAGGTAAGGCTTTTTCATGTCTATATGTGTATATATATCTATTCATATGATGTGCAAGGTACAGAAGAAAGTATGTTGGTGTTGTTTTCTTGAGAGTAAATTGGACTTGGTGACTGTTTTTTTATTTTATTTCTAGTCTATAATAGTCACATAATGGTTATGCTTGAAATGTTCTTCTTTAAGAATATTACAACATTTAGCATTGCTACACGAGCAGAGAATCGTGTCAGTCAGAAGACAATACATGTGTCTAAAACATCCTATCAGCAGGAAACATTTCACAGAAGAGGCAACTAGTAGAATATCAAATATTAAAATACAAATTACTTAGCACAAATTTTAACCAAAATAAACATAATCAGTAATCACAAAAAGATAAATAGGTCACCGTAAACATAAAAAGGTGCAAGAACTGCAACATAAGCATATTGTAATTGAGCGACATACCAGTGCAACATGTTGTGCTTTGCTGAGTAAAAAAAAAGTGCTAAAAAAACAACACTGAGTATCTCAGTGTTGCTTCAGCCTCTCGAGCCACTAGTGTTGCGGGGGGAGGACTGGCCATCTGGGGCAGCGGGAGTTTCTCCAATTTCAGTGTCGTTATTATGCAATACATTGTAATTCCTAATTGTCAGTAACAAGCAAAAAAAATAATAAAAAATAATAATACATATTACTGCATAGCAGGAGATTATCAGCCATAAGAGAAAGAGTGAATTTTTGTGAATATAAAACATTCATATTGTGAATAACTTGGTTTCCCGATAGACTTTCAGTAATTTCACTTGTGTAAGAAAATGATTCATAAAAAAATGTGGGAAGTTGCCATCCTTGAACAAAAACTTGTCAAAACTTGTGGCTTTCACTCAAGTGTGTGCTGTTGTTAGGACAGTGTCATATAAAATGTAATATTTTGACTGTCCTTGTATTGAAAAGAGCTGTCAAAATTCTACTAATTTCTATTTGCCATGGATACCAGGAAAGGCTAGGCGAATTATAACAAAGAAGTATGCCAGCACAAACATATTTTTTTTATTAATTTCTAATATAATTTATATTTCTTTATTGCTTATATTTTTAGTGTTAAAGATTTACCAGCACAAAATGAGCCGGTGTGTCATGTGTTTTGTATTGCGGACCGGGGACCAAGGCCAGGGCCACTTTCTAGTCCCAGTCCTCCCCAGAGTAAATGGTAAATGGACTGCATTTATATAGCGCTTTCACAGACCCAATGGCCGCCAAAGCGCTTTACATTTTGCCTCACATTCACCCATTCATACACCGACGGCGGTGTCAGCCATACAAGGCGCCATCCAGCTCGTCGGGAGCAGCTGGGGTTAGGTGTCTTGGTCATGGACACCTCGACACTTGGCCAGGTGGAACTGGGGATTGGACCACCAACCTTCCGGTTTGTAGACAACCTACATGAACCACTGAGCCACTGCCACCCCAGAGTGTAGCATTAAGTTGGGTGGGTGAAGTCAGAGAAGGTAAACATTTAAAACAAATCTCCAAAACCCTGCATTGTGTTGTTGTGCCGTACCCGAAGCAAGAATACGCCCCAACTGACAATACGATTAAAAGTGTTTTCCTGCAAACGAAAAAAGGAACTGCTCTTTGTGTTGGGCAATATTATCACCACTACTGCAAACACAGCACAAGACTATTTATACAGATGCATGGATGGATGGATGGATCCCAGATAGCAACATGGAGTCTGCCCAGATCCGGCCCACATCTGGCACATGTGGAATGAGGATCTGGCCCACATGCCGCGTGGAATGACGGCCCTTGGGTGGCTCACTCCTGTTTGCCAGATCTAGGCCACAAGCAGGCCATAGCAATGCCACATGTCATCCATGAGCAAAGAAATAAACCAGAAGTGGACCTCATCTGAGCCACAAAATCTTTGTATAGCAATCTCAGCCTTAACAAGCCTGTAATGCTGTTTGCGGAGTTGTTTAATCCTCCTCTGCTGAGATCTTGCGAGATTTAATGTATTTCTTGTATCGTCAGTTGATTTAATCTAAGGCTGTGGCTGGAAATCAGTTGTAGTTCTTGTATTTCTGGTCGTCTCTTTTTCTGTTTTCTTCTTTCTTTCAGTTATTCTGCTTGTTAACAGGTTTGTTAAGGCTGAGATGATTATACATATATATTTGCTCTTGGCTGACATGTGGCATTGCTCTGGCCTGCTTGTGGGCCAGATCATCCTTCCACATGTGCCAGATGTGGGCCGGATCTGGGCCGACACAATGTTGCAATCTGGGATGGACGGATGGAACCAATGGCAATCAAATAATTATCATCATATTTCAATATGTCAATAGTAATCACTTGGCATACACTTATTGGACCTCTTTAGTCCAGATCCAGTTTAAACACGTTGGAACTAACTGTATTTATAAGCTATACATATTTTTCCCAGTGTATTTTTTATATGTGCGTTTGTTTATCGTTTCTTTGCAGGCAAAAGGGAAAGTGATCTTGGCATTATTTTGAATTTCAAGCAAACACAAGAAGCAACAATCAACTTTGAATCAAATGGCCACTTTTGTTCCTGCGGAGAGCCCAGTCGTATCTGGAACACCTCCATCTGTCATTGTGCCCCCCTCGCCTTCCACACTATCCCTCTCCCATCAGATCGGGATTGCAATCCTGGTCATCGCCTTCGTGTTTGGTTTCCCTGGCAACCTGTTCGTAGTGTGGTCGGTCCTGTGCCGGGTCCGTGTGCGCTCCGTCACCTGTCTGCTGATTCTGAATCTGGCCGTGGCTGATGCGCTGGTGCTCCTGAGCGCACCGCTGTTCCTCCGGTACCTGGCGGGAAATAGTGGCTGGGAGTTTGGCAGCACCGTCTGTAAGACGATCCATTACCTGTGTTGCGTCAACATGTACGCCTCAATCTACCTGATCTGTCTGATGAGCATGGACCGCTGGCTGGCCGTCACAAAGCCGTTTCTGTCTCAGAGATTGAGGACCAAGAGAAGGCTCCTGTCTGTCATGTTGGGCATCTGGGTGATGGCTTTTCTGATGGCTTTGCCCATGCCGTTCTATCGGTGAGTCCGAGAGATTTTGTTCCAGTCACTACAACAACACAACACAACATAACTACAACACACATCACACTTTGAATTAAGCAATAACACGAAGCCATGCTATTGTAAAAATAAAGGGTGCTGCATGATACTCAGCACTGCAGATTCATATGAAAGAACAATATTATGATAGATCCGATTGTCCAACACAAAAGTTGACATTCTCACTTCCAAGGCATTCAAAACTGAAGAAGGGTTATGCGCTATTAAGACGCTAGATGTCGCTATATCGACAAACCAGGAACTCCATTGGTTTCAATCGCTTCCCTTATGCATCAGGCCCACTGAAGTGCCTTGAATCACGCAGCTTTGTTTGATGCGTTGACGTAATTTCCACTGAAACAGGAAGCTAAGGCGGGACATATTGAATGGCTCCTCCCCTTTTCAAATAGCCAATAGCGTTTAGTTTACTTCACAGACTGTAAGTCATACTTGCGCTGATGATATGTTGGATTCAATAGTAGAGGTGTGAATAAATTCTAGCCATTTCATTCTTAACCAGCGTACAGTTGGGAAACTGAATAAAACTTGAGCGTTTGAGCAACCGAACTCACATCTCCAACCCATATTGCTCCGTGCTTTGGCAAGGCTTTTTTTTGATGCTTTAGATTCTTGAGAGCATTTGATTGGACAGAAGATGTGATGAGAAGCTGAAGTCCGCGGTGATGTCATGATAATCGAGATGGTCCTCACTGCAGAACACGAAATCCAGGGTGAGGAGTTGGATCTGGATATATCTTACTTATATCTAAACCTACCCATCTCCACCCCTGATCCCTAACCACACCCCTAAACCTACCCATCTCCGCCCCCTGATCCCTAACCACACCCCTAAACCTACCCATCTCCACCCCCTGATCCCTAACCACACCCCTAAACCTACCCATCTCCGCCCCCTGATCCCTAAACACACCCCTAAACCTACCCATCTCTGCCCCCTGATCCCAAACCCCACCCCTAATCCTACCCATCTCCGCCCCCTGATCCCTAACCCTACCCCTAATCCTACCCATCTCTGCCCCCTGATCCCTAACCACACCCCTAATCCTACCCATCTCCGCCCCCTGATCCCTAACCACACCCCTAAACCTACCCATCTCCGCCCCCTGATCCCTAAACACACCCCTAATCCTACCCATCTCCGCCCCCTGATCCCTAACCCTACCCCTAATCCTACCCATCTCTGCCCCCTGATCCCTAACCACACCCCTAATCCTACCCATCTCCGCCCCCTGATCCCTAACCACAGCCCTAAACCTACCCATCTCCGCCCCCTGATCCCTAAACCCACCCCTAATCCTACCCATCTCCACCCCTTAGATCTGGATCCAACTCCGCCCCTGGATCTCGTGTACTGCAATGAGGTGCTACTGTAATAATCAGTGATCCATCGGAAGGGGCCTTTAATGCATTTGTAAAAGCAGAATGATTTCATTCTAAATCTGGGTGCAAGTGCTATGAATCAATGAAATATTCAAAAAACACTTCTCCACAATATAAAACATGTAACAGGCAGACAAAAGTACATGTGCAGGGATTAATTGCAAAAAAACAACCCCAAAAAATGTATCATGTAATAATAAGTTTAATTGAATTTCTATAGCGCCTTTCCCAAGCTCAAGGACGCTTCACATTGACAGTAGATAACAAGCAGTTTACACATAGATAGACAGACAATGGGCATTTGCCCAGTCCAAGTAATGAGCAATTGCAGTTGCAAATCACATTACATTTACAATACAAACATAAAACAGGGCAAAGAACATTAATTACAGACAACATAGTGGGCAGTTGGAGTGAAGATGCAATAGAATTATTGGAACCTAGGTTAACATTGTGACTGTGTTATGTCAGATTAACATTTCATGCCTGATAAGAACAAATGTGTTTTGAGTTTATACTTAAATACATGCACTGTGGTTGTTGTCCTGAGAGCCAACGGAAGAGAGTTCCAAAGCTTGGGGGCTATAACAGAGAAAGACCTGCCACCCATAGATGATGTACAGGGCGGCCCATCCTTCAGGCGACACAGGCAGTCACTACGGGCCCCAACATGCCTGGGGTTTCGTTACAGTTACTGTCAAAAAAACATTATTTGTTCTCCACTGAAAAAATGCAATTGGCACACGGACAAATGTGATATCTAGAGATTTCAAACCTTCCTCAAAAGTGCTCAAGTTGTCAGAAATGTACAAAATAGGTCACAGAATTGATTACTTGACTATCTGAACTGCTTCCTGTGTTCTTAGCAAGTGTGTATGGCAGGAACAGCTCTTCTGTTGCCAAAATGTGTTTACTGAATAATTCTGGGCAATGAATTTAAAGACTGTAAACCTAAAGGCCTATACAGTATGCAGTAATTAATCCTAACTTCTCAGGTACTCTCAAAAATCGCTAAGCCTTTGGACTAGTTTAATAAAATTATCAAACAGTTGATTCATTTGAACTTAAACTCGATTAATTGAACTGATGAGTAAAATTCATCTTAATTCAGTGTGATCAGACACGTTTATTTGACATATTCTGTGAATTTTCCCTAAATGTAATTCAGCGGAGCGTGTTTTGAAAGCGCCCATCACTATACGTGGACTGTAAATGATGCGTATTACACGCCATGAAGTGCGTATCATATGCACACAAAACATTTTTTTGCCGTTTAAATGGCAAGATAAATAAAATGCGTGGTATAGGTACATTTGCACCAGTACACTGGAATCAGTTCAGACTCTGACTGAAGAACAGACGAGCTGCTGATATGAGCATGTGCAGTTGACTCGAATGAGAGGATGAAATTAACTATTTCGCTTATTCACTTTATATGCGTTTCACATCATGATTGTGCGCTTTAATAATTGCATATACGTGACGTCATTGCGTGGTTAAATAAACAAAATGGTGAATCTGCAGCACACTTTATTAAACAAACTCCAGACTTTACAAACTCAGATTCGGGAACAGGACTCGGGAACGGAACAACCAACATCCAATAACAACATCAAGAACTCACAAACACTGAACTAGACACAGGGCTTATGGTGCGTTCTATTATTTATCCGCGTCGGAGTTCCGAGGAAGACAGACGTTGCCTAGCAACACGCACCAACACGCCCCCTTTCCTCGGATTTTCCCCATCGGATTTCAGACAACCGTGAGGACACCGAGCAAGAATTCTGATACGGAATCCAAGATGGCCGCGCCCTGTGTGACTTAGTATGAATTGTTTTCATTGTTTTTGGACCGCTTTGGTTGTTTAAATGAAGATTTTAATCACTCGTATTACTGCAATATACTTACTGCGTCCGTATCACTGCCTGTGGGAATGGGAATCGGTCTTGTTGTGAGTGCAATATTGAATGAAGCCTTGTTTCAAACGGGTGTTACTAACGTGGCTAGCGTTGCTAACAGAAGATAAACTAAAACATGAAATAAAGTGAAAATTTTAGAAGTTCAAATGGCTGAGTTTTGATAAGCGCCTGGTACTCGGCCAGTGCTACCATAGCAACAGCTTTCCGGGTGGCGTCCGTGTTTTTTTCTCCGACTCGGATGCACAAAACATACCAGAACGCTTGAAGTGTGGAAATGGCATCATATCCGAGGGCCGAGTCGGTTCGTTGACAATAATAGAACGCACCAGTAAATACATACTGGACTAACGACGAGACAAGGGACACCTGTGAACATTTAACCAATGACAACATGACACAACAGACAAGGGAACACAAGGCAAGATCACATGACTAGAACAGGGGATCACATGACAGACAAGAACCAGGAACCAGGAACAAGAAACAAAACCCAAACCATGACAACTTGCTCACATGCTAAAAGTATCCCTTGCAGTATGCAAGTATATTCAGTAAGAATTTTTTGCTGCATGGCATAAACTCAGTTGCTTATGAAGAGGAACATACAGCATAGTTGAATCTAATGTGGCCACAGAGCCTAACCACACGCTCTACTCTTCAGCTCAATGGTAACCACAAAAACCAACGTAACAAAATGGCTTTGAAATGTCAGTTAAATACGGTGCCTATTTTCACTAAATGCAAGGCAAGGCAAGTTTATTTAGCACATTTCATTCACTGTAATTCAAAGTGCTTTACGCAGAAATGAATGAAAATAATCACAAAATAAAAGCAAGACAATTAAAACCAGTTGTAAAAGGAATAAAACAAGTAAAAAGATGATGCATAGATAAATTTCTAATCTCACAAAACAACGGTGTGTCTTATGTTTCACAGCTGCTTATTTCACTGTGAGATTTCTTCATGTTGATTGTAATGTGTCTGTGGACAAAACTTGCAACAAATGCAAAAACACTTATTCATGTAGCCTCAACACAAATGAATTAAGTTTACTTAGCATTTTACAAATTTAATTCTATTTTCTATTTTTGGCATCACTTTTTTCTTGATTTGACCCATTTCAGAGGCGGCCACAATTCCAATATCTGTACACATAGCCATCATTTAAACCGTCTCCTGTGACTTATCTCTCTCTCTCTCTTTAAATGTTGACCTCTTTCATTTGCTCTGTACCGACAGTATCGTGAAGCCGCTCCGTCCAGGTGGGCTCATCTACCTGTGTACACCGTACCACTGGGAGAGCAGCACTCATGAAATCTTCCAGTACCTGTGTGAGACTCTGCTGGGTTTCCTTCTGCCCTTCACCTTCATCCTGTTCTGCTATATCTCAGTGATCTGCCGGCTGCGTAGCACCATGTTCCAGCGCAAAGGAAGAGGAAACTTCCTCATCCTCCTCATCATCGCTGCTTTTACCGTCTTCTGGCTGCCGTATCACCTGATCAACATTTTACAGGTGAGTAACACCCCACTGTATGATGCCATCGCAATTATCGTAAATACGTCACATTTACCACTAGGAAGCTCTGGGATCATTCTGATACCCAAGTTCAGTCGTGTGGGCCATAAACCATAAACACTGCATATTTACATTTGAATTGTATTGTATGTATTTTTACACAAAGTAAATAGCCTGTATTTTTTTCCGAAATTCAAATTCCACTCTGACTAAATTGGTAGCGTGATTAATGTTTATATATGGTTGTCAATGTAGTCTCCCTGAAAAAGGAAACATAGATATTTCAAAGAACAGACACAAACACTTGTTGCGTTTACCTCAATCTCAGTGTAAAAGAAACATTCAATGTTGCACAAAATAACCATGAAATGCATACCAACTTGCATATAACAACATTGCATTCTCTTTATACACAAAGTGAACCATATTATTTTTGCCGACAAAACAATTAAAGAGATGAACATCAATTGGCATAAAACATTATATCCATCCTGGTACACACAATAAACAAGATAGCTTGCATCAGTACGTGTGACACTTAAAAATAAAGAATAAAAAAAAACAAGAAAATGAGGAATAAATCATATTACGTGTAAATTTAGAATGAACGTAATTTAATTTGTACTCAAATAATCTGTTCTCAAAGTGCATACCAATCTCAAAACATTTCATTTATCACAATTATGATAACACTGCACATTATCAGTTTTTAGGAGGTCATAACACATGGCATCATTAACTTAACACAAAATTAAGATTAAACCAGCGTTAAGAGATAATAGTATCACAGCAAACTCATCTTAACAGCATAATAACATACAAATTGTTAGACAACTATCAAACTTCATATATTAACAGCACAGTGCATGAAATGTGCTAATGGTAGCATAGCATCAAAAGCTATTCAGCATGTATTAACCTTAATGTTACATATGCACTCTTATTGTAAAGTGTTAAAATTTTTATTTGAATCCAAGTCATGCTTAAAGATGGTGATCTGTAAACATCTGCACAAAGGCCATATCATTGAAATTACACATGTATGTTATATGTAGGCCTATACTTTCACATGTTTTTTGCTTCTATTTTAGAACACTTGATTATTATTCAAAATAAGAAAATATGTGTTACAGTGACGATAAAAAAAGAACTACACCGCAAAATCCACAGAGTTAAATTAACTCTGCTCAGAGTACATATGGTCCCACTCTACAGAAAGCTAAAATAACACTGAAGAAGTGTTAAACTCACACTGCTGTGATTGGCTGTGAGACTTCAGTGTAAACGCCCACTGCTGTGTTTGTCTGTGTGAGACTTCAGTGTGAACGCCCACTGCTGTGATTGGCTGTGAGACTTCAGTGTAAACACCAACTGCTGTGATTGGCTGTGAGACTTCAGTGTAAACGCCCACTGCTGTGATTGGCTGTGAGACTTCAGTGTAAACGCCCACTGCTGTGATTGGCTGTGAGACTTCAGTGTAAACGCCCACTGCTGTGATTGGCTGTGAGACTTCAGTGTAAACGCCCACTGCTGTGATTGGCTGATGTGAGACTTCAGTGTAAACACCCACTGCTGTGATTGGCTGTGAGACTTCAGTGTAAACGCCCACTGCTGTGATTGGCTGTGTGAGACTTCAGTGTAAACACCCACTGCTGTGATTGGCTGTGTGAGACTTCAGTGTAAACACCCACTGCTGTGATTGGCTGCTGAGACTTCAGTGTAAACACCCACTGCTGTGATTGGCTGCTGTGAGACTTCAGTGTAAACACCAACTGCTGTGATTGGCTGCTGTGAGACTTCAGTGTAAACACCCACTGCTGTGATTGGCTGTGTGAGACCTCAGTGTAAACACCCACTGCTGTGATTGGCTGCTGTGAGACTTCAGTGTAAACACCCACTGCTGTGATTGGCTGCTGAGACTTCAGTGTAAACACCCACTGCTGTGATTGGCTGCTGTGAGACTTCAGTGTAAACACCCACTGCTGTGATTGGCTGCTGTGAGACTGCAGTGTAAACGCCCACTGCTGTGATTGGCTGCTGTGAGACTTCAGTGTAAACACCCACTGCTGTGATTGGCTGCTGTGAGACTTCAGTGTAAACGCCCACTGCTGTGATTGGCTGCAGTGAGACTTCAGTGTAAACGCCCAGTGCTGTGATTGGCTGCTGTGAGACTTCAGTGTAAACGCCCACTGCTGTGATTGGCTGACACGTTTGCATATGAAGTAGCTAGCATTACATGTGGAACTCTCTCTAAAACTTTTACTACGTTTTAACTATTACAGCTATCGAGATTATAAGGAAGCGTGAAAAGTATTGATCATAATGATCTATTCCCATCAAATAAAAGGTTGCAGTGATGAGCATTGAGCTGTATGAAAATTACACCTCTGGCTTTCACCGAATAACAATGCAAACACGATGCAAATACAGTAAGAGCTTCGTTGTACTGTACATTGTAGCAGCATCATGATTTTGTGATGATTGATTTTAACGAGTTTTGGCAAGTGTCCAGATAAACTCGCATTGTTTGATTGATAGCTTGGGCAATTGGAAAGGGAGCGTCATCCTACTAAGAGAAACGACGTGAAGTTGATTGTTTAGTCACTGGCTTGATTTACTGATGCATAAGCAGTATTCACCAATATTTTGAGAGATAATCTGTCTGAACTTGAATAATTACCTCAGAAATCACTGATCACAGATCAGGCATTAGAATAAACATGACTACTTACATGTTCAACGATATTTTGACTCAATTTCAAAATTTTCAACATACAACATATATTGCAGAGATGACGATTTGATATGTGTTTTTATCTGGAATATGTATTTTTTAGAGTGTTTTCTCATCTGCAATATGTCTTTTTTTTCTGTCAGAAGTTATAATATATTATTTAAAAGACATCTTATCTTAAAGATGTACATGTGCTATCTGGATTCATTTCACCTGTTGTCCACAAACACGCTTGACTTGATGATTGGCTTAAAGGTCACCATTTATTGGTTATGTATGTGACACGAGGCAAATCATTTAAAAAAGACTAAAGACAAAATCACTATTTGTGAGGTCAGTTTACTAATGTGTTTTTATGCTGTCAAAGCAAAAAAAATGTTTTCTTTTTTTTACATTAAATACATCTGCGCTATGCAAATTAGTGCATAAATTGTTAAAAACAGCATTTACTTTGATCATTTTTAATACACTATCCAGAAGGCTCAGCCTTCCATTCTTGCCAATGCATGGTTTTCTTGTGTGTGAAATATAAAGTATGAACATTAAGGTTCAATTTTCTCACATTTTATGTCAGCACATTTCTCTTTCTTGTTGGTCTGTTCCTACAGGTGATCGGCATGATGCAGGACTCCCCTTCTCTCTTAAAAGCAGCAAAAGTGGCCCGTCCCAACGTGACAGCGTTCGCATTTATGAGCAGCAGCGTGAACCCCGTCCTGTACGTGTTTACCGGCAGCTCTCACATCCGTCAGGCTGGTCTGGGCTTCATGGCCAAACTCTTTGAAGGAACCAACTCGGAGTCAGTCTCCAGCCGCACCAGGTCCAGCCGCGGATCTAACGCAGAGAGCTCCGTTTTCACCAAGCTGTCCGTCAAGCTGAGTCGCAAAGGGGACGGGACAAGAGCTGAGACCCCTGGTGGTGAGGAGGAGACTACAGCAGACATGCACAACAGAGACGAGATGAAGACTCTGACCACCCTGCATTAAAGTGCTCATATAAAGTGCTTTCATTCCCCTGAAGTCTAATGTTAGTTACGGTTGTTGGACTCTCATTATCCCACTGAAATAATATCATCATCTTCTGCTGCTGATGTTTCAGAAAAAACGTGTCTTTATTTCCTCTGTCTAAATACTTTATTGTTATTGGCTGGAATGCAGACATTAAAACATTGTTACTTTTTGTTAGAATTTGTCTCTCTGTGGAAAATCTTGTTATATGCAATCCTGCTGTTTTCTGTTTCTTTTTTTGTTAGTTTATAAAACATGAATACATCTGCATGTAAACACATCCTCATCTCTCAGTTGTTTATGCCCACACTATGTTACGAGCTGCTCAGAGACACAAAGGTTGAGATCCAAATGCAGCTTTATTTGAGTAATCCAGAATCATAATCTAAACACAGGCAAAGGGTCAAGAACAGGAAGGGAGTCCAAACAAACAAACAAACAAACAAACAGGGGTCAAAGCCAAAAAGGAATCCTAGAAACAGGCAAAAATCCAAGAACCATGAGACAATGAAAGTGTAAACAGCTAACAAAACCTCACAGTGAATGAACCAGGCTCATATACACAGAGTTAACAAGGCTATGAGGAACAGCTGATGACAATCATGGTTGATTAGTCCGGGCAGTGGGTTATTGGTAATGTAGTCCGGGGTGGAGTGCCCTCTGGTGGCTATCAAGGGCACTCCAACTGCACTCAATTTAGACATGTCAGTATCGACAATTTTACATTTCTGACATGAAACAGGAGAAACAGTGAGTGTTATTGTTGTAGATATATTTTATTACATGTCTGTTTTATTTCTTTGAGCTTGACTTCAAAAATCAACAACAACAAAAAAGACCCTGTCTGAAATATTTGTAAAATGTGTCAAATGAATTTGTCATTGTTATCACGGGAAGGAAACTGTAAATATTTGCAATAATACATTTAGAAAATTAAAGTTTAATTGGGTTTATTAGATGGTGTTGTTGACATGTTCTTTTATGTTTAGCACAAAGGGATTCGATAATATATACCCAACCTTCACTCCTTTAAGAATAAACAATATTTAATTGAGCTGAGGTTGGTGCTCATTGATTCACATTCATCAAGTCATGTCTAATGTAAAGACATGATTGATTGATGAAACTCAGTATAAGAGAGAGAAGTACAGATATCCTTAAAACACAAATGAGGAATTCAGTTACATGAATTATCGAATGATAAAACAAAAATAAAACAGTATAAACATGTATCTAATGGTGAGTATATGATGCCCTTTGATCCCTCATAAAATTCAATTAATTCTGAAGTTAGTAAACACACACACACACAAAAAAAGACAGAAATAGTTTGTAAAAGTAAACAGTGATTCTGGACGTTGAGGCTCTTAAAATGGACCAAACACCCACAGGAATCACACTGATGAATCAACAGAAAATCTTCCACTGGAGGAAAACAGACCCTCAAAAGAATAGTTCAGACAATTTACAGCTCAATAACAGTTTACTGATGAATATATTTGAACTATTTAAACAAACATCTGAGCAGAAGATTGCGGTCTTTTTTTTACCCGTATTGATGGAAGAAACAAAGCTTTGGAAGAAACAAACCAATTGCTTTGCAAAAATGATTTTGAAAACACTCCCCAGCCAGCACAGCCATGAGGAGCCCAGATGGGGTTGACCTGATCTATCTAACTGGGGCCCAGACAGTTTTGTCCTCGATCAGTTTTCATGTAAGCCCCACATGGGTTAGCCCAGATGAAATGAACCCTTCTCAGTGTGCACACTACAGGGTGTTCAATGGAACTGAATCAGTGTCGGAGTTAATGAGATATTTAGGTGATAACAAGCAGAATGAAAGGAGAGAACAGAAAAAGAGACGAGAACACACTTCAGCCAAAGCCTTATATGAAATCAACTGAAGATAAAATAAAACATTAAATCTCTGAAGATCTCAGCAGAGGAAGATTAAACAACTCCACAAACAGCATTACCAGCTTCACTCATTACTAACCAGATTTACTTTATTTATGTCAGATGTCTACAGAAGATCTTACTGAGAAATAACAAAGGTTTTAGGTTTAGAAGTCACCATGATATTGATCAGTGTTTGCTTTAGTTGGACTCAAGATCCTTAACTTTTTAATTTTAGTTTTTCTCTGGCTGCCTCAACTTTGTGTTTGTAAAGCACTTGTGTTATCGCAAGAGAAAATATAACCTGGTTATGGTTTAATGATGACATGATCATGAAGTAATAGCCTGGTTTACTGATGTCTGATTATTTGCTTGATTTGTAACTTTAGTATTGGTGATTGTAAGCCTGTGATTTCCCAGCTTGAGATCCAACAGCAAAATGAGCAAATTCTAAAATACATTGTGAATCAGAATGTAGTCACCAAAGCTTAACCATGATGACCTGGCTATAACAAATGTGTTTTATTAACACAAAGCCAAATAACACCAATAATAAAAAGTCATGAGTCCAACTAAATCAAACACTGATCACCATTATGGTGATTTAAAACGAAACATTCATTAAAACATCAACATCTAAACCTCTGTTAATTCTCAAGAACTTTTGTAGATGTACAGGTATGATAGTAATTAAGTCAAACTGGTTATTAATAAGTGCAATAATGTTTAATGGCTGGAAGTCAGTTGTAGTTCTTGAGTTTCTGCTCTTCTCGTTTTTTCTGTTCTTGTTGTTTCACTTAATATCACCACTGATGGTCAATCATAATTATCTCATTACCTTCAGCACTGCTTCAGTGTTATTTCAACTCTCTGTAGTGTGGACACATATGAACACTGAGGGGTGTTCATTAAACACTGCGGATTTTGCTGTGTAGTGTTGCTATAAAAACACAGAACGTCACGTGTTGTCATCTCATAACTATGGGAACAACGATATGGCATAAATGCAGCACTTGATAGGTATTCTGAATCACTGGTTCGAAAACAAATCATTCACAATGGTTTTAAACTTCACAAATCGTGAATCGAAAGCGACCATCAGGTACAACTGCCTACTGAGGGTGAAATAATTGTATGTAAAATTACTACAAACCAAGTGACAAATGAGAATAAAGGAAGTGAATACATACATTTGTTATTAAAGGTATGTATTTGCTTTCACTCCTAATATCTGCTGCAGATGAAGTAATTTGTAAATATATGACTAGTGCAAAACACAGGAGTGATTCGAAGAATCTAGCCAAACCACCAGAATACCAAGATCCCATGAAATCAACTGAAGTGACTTGTGCTTTACTTCGTTTTTGAGTCGACTGTAAATTTGAAATGTAAATGTAGCTTAAAGCCACAGATTAAAACTCATTTTGATTTCATGGGCTCTTTAAAATATATAGTGCACAATAGTATTTTAAATGCCCAAAGTATGTTATGATGATATTAAAAAGACTCATAAGATGCTTTTCAGTTACAGAAATTATCATTGTACTTTGAAATTAGCACATTATCTGATAAGAACAAGTGTTAAAAAAAAAAAAAAAAAGAAGATTTGCCAGTTATGAAAGAACACACACATCTCCTTCAGTCTTCATTTCTGCTGCAGATGAAGTTGAGTTTGTGGTGTTCAGGACGGCTGATCCAGCGCTGATCTCCTCCAGACTGAACTGCTCCAGATCTCACTGCAGACACACAGTCCTCGTCTCCTGTGCCGTTCCCTGGAGCCCAGTTCTGATAGCACACGGTCTCTCCGCTCACCCAGAACCAGAGGCCCACAGTGCAGGAGTGACGTAAACCCAACCACACCGCCTCAGTAGACGCACGTTTAACCACATTCATCACACGACGCTGCATCTGGACTGAATGAACCGAGACCAGATCCGTATAATTCTGTCTGCAGTATCTCAGAGCTTCAGTCCACGTCAGAGTCTCAGTGATCAGAATCAGTTTATCTGGACACAAAACACACCACAAGCAAACACTAGAGAGAGACTGATCAAAAACAACATGCAGAACACACACTGTGGAGGAATCTGTCATGTCAGACATGTAGCGTGAACTTTAAAGGTGACCTATAGTTCAAAATTGAATTTACCTTGGTATAGTCAAATAACAAGAGTTCAGTGCATGGACATGACATAGAGTGAATCTCAAACTGGACTGTTTTCGCGTTCTCATTTAATTCACGTTTATGAAAAACACCCCTGAAAAACGGTCGGTTCTCCACACAATACCGACTGTGACGCAATAGTCGGGATCATTAATATGTACGCCTCCAAATATTTGCATAATGCCAGCCCTCAATGCCAGGCGGAACTGCGCAGCCGAAGCATGGCAGTTGCTCAGTGTGGATGTACACATGAACACAAAAGTATTTTTTAGTTCCTTCATCTGAGCCTCTGAAGAAACAATGGGTTAATTTTATTTTCTCTGGAAATTTCCAAACATTTCACCGACTGTTTCCTCAACTTGGGCCAATACAGAGCTGGCCTCGGATCGAGCTACCAAGCAACACTTTCTGATGAGTAATTGTTCAAGTTCAGACAGGTAATCTTTCTCTCAAAATCGTTCAATACTGTTTATGCATCAGTAAGTCAAGCCAGTGACTAAAATATCAGCTTCACATCGTTTCTTTTAGTAGGATGAAAATAATCGTATTTAATTTGTGAACAAATTATATACAGAAAGCGATCAAAGAACAATCTTTCCACACAGCGCGAGTTTATCTGGACACTTGCCAAACTCGTTATGAAATCAATGACGCACGTTACTGCACAACGAAGCTCTTACTGTATTTACATCATCGTGTTTGCATTGGTGAAAGCATTAGAGAGAGTGCAGGAACTGCTTTGCAATGATAAGATCTTCATTCTCGCGATCAACACACAGTCATGTGCTCAATGCTCATCACGGCAACATTTTATGTGATGGGAATAGATCTAAATACTTTAAAAACATCTCACGATTCGTTAATCTCGATAGCTGTTATAGTAAAAACGCATAATAGCAGTAGTAAAAGTATTCGGGAGAGAGTTTCACATGTAATGCGTTGCTATTTCATATGCAAGTGTGACAGATGGAAATAAGGCGTTTTACCAGTAAGTCATAATAAGCAGTTGAGTAAGTAGTAATAGTAATAGTTAACGAGTTCATAGCCAGGTAATGTTGTAATTTTTATAGGGTAATTTATAGGATATGTTATGGTTAAAATTGTTATTGTTCGTGGAAGCAGTGACAGTACAGTAGTTTTATTATTTCGGATTTTGCATATGCAACATGTCATTCTAACAGCAGAAGCAGTAAGTGTAAAAAAGCGCTGTAGTTACGGGAAGCACCAGTAGAGGGGGAACAGTTGAATTATGTTACGGTGCGGCTCGCTTCCTCTCTTCAGTCATTATACACTTGATCTGAGGAAAGGTTGTCTCCGTACATCTTTCATCACTATTTCCCTTTTCAGGTATGAATCGTTTATAATATGTGATATTGTTTACCTGCATGTTATGTGGATGTGTGCACGTGTCGAGTAGAGTGTTTTAAGTGCCGTTAGTTGAATATTGTGAAGTTACGATGTTAATTACATGACGACAAGTAAGCTAGCTTTGGTAATGCTAATTGCGACCTCGTGGGTGAACGCGCGGCACTTAGTAATGTTAGTTATGCCGTGATAGTATACTTATCGTAGCTTGTGTTGCACACGGTTATAAAAGATACTGAGTATTATGAGTGGAGTAAAGAATTGTGTATGTATGGTATTAGTATAATTGTGTTTTGTATTGCGGGTGTATTCCCGTATTTAATCGGTAGTGAAAAGTGTTAAATGCTTCAGATAATATTACTGACTAGAGATAATGGTTAGGATTGTATAAGAAATGTAATATTATTTTGTGTATGGAAACTGTACTGACGTTGCATTTGTTGATATTCAGTCATTATACACTTGATCTGAGGAAAGGTTGTCTCCGTACATCTTTCATCACTATTTCCCTTTTCAGGGCTTTTACACAAGCATGTCAGCCAATCACAGCAGTGGCCGCGGTTACACTGAATCCCACAGAGACACGCCCCTTCAAACAGAGTGTTCAAATCAGAGGCTAAAAGCAGGCTAGGAAAAATGCCATTTATTTCTAAATTATGATTATTTTTTATCTAAAAAACATACTAACATTATAAGGGTAACCCAGGAAACATTATAAAATAATAAAAAAAAACATTCTAGGGCACCTTTAAGAAATCTGGAGGTGATGGATGGAGTGTGTGTGTGTGTGTGAGGATCTGCTCACCTTCATGACACACAAAAGGGAGTTGCTTGCTGCAGGGGTCGTCTATCCATTTACCCAGAGCGTTTGGACTGATCACTGCACAGTTTTCATATCCTCCATGATTATTAGGTTCATCAGAAGCCCAGTCTCTGAATGAGGAGTCACTCTGATCTGACCACTGCCATGAGTCTCTGAACAGACCGATCCAGACATCATTAGGTATTTGCTTATCATTGATAATCTGTTGATTCTCATTCTGGTTCCTCACACTGACCAGATCAATGTGATTCTCTCTGCAGAAACTCTGAGCGTCTCTCCAGTTCTTCTTCTCATTGACAAAGACGAGTCCTGTGTTCACTTTAAGGAAAGAAATGGAAACAGATTCATGAATCAATTTGTTCATTATTTTTGTACTGATTTACGGTTTAGATATGAATAAGAGCAGTGGTGGAAGCATCATTAACCAAAGACTGTTTCAACAGCTCATGATATATTAAATATTCATACTATATTTGTAATAATTTTGCTGATACAACATTAATTAGCGTTTGTGAATTTTCTTGATCATTTTTCTTGATTCATACCTGAGAAGACAATGACCTGCATAATGAGCCTCTCACAGGTGTGTCACTGAGCCACAAGAAAGAATGCAAGGACAAAAATTTTTTATATATATATATGTCACGATTCCTGTCTTGTGTTCCCCTTGTCTTGTGTGGACTTTTGTTATTTCCTGTTTTGTGCCATGTGTTTGTAGTCATTTGTAGTTTTTCGTGTTGATTAGTTTATTATTGTTCTCAGGTGTATCTTGTTTCCTCATTACTTAGTTAAGCTTGTTTGTCCCTGTGTATTTATAGCCCTTGTGTTTCACTTGTTACTTTGTCAGTTGTTATACATGTAATGGTTGCTTTTGTTCCTCGTGGTTTTGCTCCTTTGTTCTGTTTTACCTGTTATTACTTTATTAAATCCTGCATTTAGATCCTCGCCTTCGCCTGCGTTTCTCAGCCCGTTACAATATATATATATACTACAAAATTGGTTCACAGTTGGAAACATCTTGAAACAATCTGTATTTTTCCACTTGTATTTTTGCTTGCAAATTTTAAAATATCCTAGGTAAACATTTTTAGTAATTGTGTAGTTAATTCACATACTGTATTTTCAGAAAGTTTTGGATATGTATCCTCTCCCCAAATTTGTCACTAATAAAACACAATAAAAAATATTTAAAGAGAAGGCTTATATTGACCTTTAAAGATTTTGTTTACATCTACCTTGTAAATATATTCTTCGCTATTTTATTAAAAAGGTTACAATTACAACAACAATTAAAATTGTAACAATATTTCAAGTGTAATCTTTCTTTGTAAAAACTAAAGTATACATTTTATCATAAGTATTTCAAGGATTCATTCTTTTGAATAAAGCCTACATTGGAACAAACACTATAATAACTATAAAAACAAAAGCTTATTTGATGTGGCAGTAATCTATATTACAGTAAAAAGTTTATAACAAAACTAGTCAACGAAATGTTGTCTTTTATATTTCGTCTGTAACGTAGGCATATCGTTGCGATCTCATGAAAGTGCGTATCTATAGCACAAATTAAATTTCTCGTACCAAAAATAGTTTTTGCATGCATACGGAGTTTACGTGTGCATATGATACGCACTCTAATCACACACCTAATCCTACCCAAGGGGTTTACAGTGCGTATCATTTGCACGCAAAAACTATAAATAAATTACGATAAATTAAATGCGTGCTATAGATATGCACTTTCATGAGATCGTGTTGTTTTATGATATGTTAGGGCATATACAAAGACATTTTGTTGCTTATACAAAGACATTTTATTTCAACATATTTCAGTCGATTTTTACTCATCTCAGTAAAGCATTATTGTTTGGTAAAAGCTGTTCATTCATTCACACACAGAAAGCGATTCATATTTAAACAGTCTTTTTGCGGTTTACATAGGCTCTTCCATATCATGATTACAACAAAGCACTTAATAATAAAAAAACTTACTAATTACATCAGATTGATCCGTCGCTCCTCGAAATGAATTTAAACCAGCACTTCTGATGTAAATTTCCAACCCGATCTAACGGAAATTCGTACGAATTTTACGAGGTGGCTAATTCGTACGAATTCATACGACCTCACTCGGACGAATTAGTTCGATTTTTGCTAAATCGTACATATTTTACGAGTTGCTCAATTCGTATGAATTCGTACGAATGACCTAACCCTGACCCCGCCCCTAAACCTACCCATCACATTGGTTTAGATAAAATCGTACAAATTCGTACAAGTGAGGTCGTACGAATTCTTACGAATTAGCCACCTTTTAATCACTCGTACAAATTCGTACGAATTGATCGTGAGATAGCGTTGAAATTTCCCAGGATTATTCCTCACAGCCTCGCAAGATGACGTAAAGTATTGTAATCTGATTAAACTTGTTGAGTTTTATCGAGTTGATGTGGGGGCTTTCACATGTTTGCCTGTATCGCCTAAGAATAATTGCGTTTGAATAGCGCGTGCTCTCCGCGGGCGCTTCGGTCTGCGCAAATGCCGGAAAGCGCCGGAAGTGATCTCTCGCGCGTGTACGTCACTCATTGTTTACACAGAGATTTCGGAAGTGTTACCTTTCACTGTGAAGATCTAAACATACACTCACCGGCCACTTTATTAGGTACACCTGTCCAACTGCTCGTTAACACTTAATTTCTAAGCAGCCAATCACATGGCGGCAACTCAGTGCATTTAGGCATGTAGACATGGTCAAGACAATCTCCTGCAGTTCAAACCGAGCATCAGTATGGGGAAGAAAGTTGATTTGAGTGACTTTGAACGTGGCATGATTGTTGGTGCCAGAAGGGCTGGTCTGAGTATTTCAGAAACTGCTAATCTACTGGGATTTTCACGCACAACCATCTCTAGGGTTTACAGAGAATGGTCCGAAAAAGAAAAAACATCCAGTGAGCGGCAGTTCTGTGGGCGGAAATGCCTTGTTGATGGCAGAGGTCAAAGGAGAATGGCCAGACTGGTTCGAGCTGATAGAAGGGCAACAGTGACTGAAATAACCACTCGTTACAACCGAGGTATGCAGCAAAGCATTTGTGAAGCCACAACACGCACAACCTTGAGGCGGATGGGCTACAACAGCAGAAGACTCCACCGGGTACCACTCATCTCCACTACAAATAAGAAAAAGAGGCTACAATTTGCAAGAGCTCACCAAAATTGAACAGTTGAAGACTGGAAAAATGTTGCCTGGTCTGATGAGTCTCGATTTCTGTTGAGACATTCAGATGTTAGAGTCAGAATTTGGCGTAAACAGAATGAGAACATGGAACCATCATGCCTTGTTACCACTGTGCAGGCTGGTGGTGGTGGTGTAATGGTGTGGGGGATGTTTTCCTGGCACACTTTAGGCCCCTTAGTGCCAATTGGGCATCGTTTAAATGCCACGGCCTACCTGAGCATTGTTTCTGACCATGTCCATCCCTTTATGGCCACCATGTACCCATCCTCTGATGGCTACTTCCACCATGTCACAAAGCTCTAATCATTTCAAATTGGTTTCTTGAACATGACAATGAGTTCACTGTACTAAAATGGCCTCCACAGTCACCAGATCTCAACCCAATAGAGCATCTTTGGGATGTGGTGGAACGGGAGATTCGCATCATGGATGTGCAGCCGACAAATCTGCGGCAACTGTGTGATGCCATCATGTCAATATGGACCAAACTCCCTGAGGAATTCTTCCAGCACCTTGTTGAATCTATGCCACGAAGAATTGAGGCAGTTCTGAAGGCAAAAGGGGGTCCAACCCGTTACTAGCATGGGGTACCTAATAAAGTGGCCGGTGAGTGTATTTAGATATACAGGAAATCGCAATGGAAGACGATTTCGATATATCAACAGACAACGTTGAATTTTTTCAGAGAGATCACTTCCGGCGCTTGCGCAGACCGAAGCGCCCGCGCCCTCAGATCACTTGGACGTGGCTGTGTTTACAAGAGGTAAAAACGATATAAATACTGTTCGTTTTCTCACACAAACCGCTCGTTTCGTGTCTTAGGCCATCAATGTGTACTTACATTTACGAGTCATTAAATCATGTTTAATTTGGACTTCTCTGTGCATGCTCTTTGAGGTGGACCCCATAGACCTGCATTATATGACTGACAGACAAGAACGGTTTGACCTAAAAATATCAAAATTGAAACTACTGCGGAAACAAAGACACCTACATCTTGGATGCCCTTGAGGTAAGCTAAAACATAACAAAAAAAAAATTCTAAGTGAACTATCCCTTTAATCTGCTTGTGGTTGTTTTAAAACAAACATGCATTGTCATCTAGAAAACCCATCCTGGTGTCGACCTCCTTGTTTTTTAGACATTTTGATTATGCATGTATTGCTAATAATATATAATTTACATCTCTGGCGACAGATGCTAGAGGCTGCAGTCTTTAGCCTCCTTGTTAGAGCGCCCGACTCTCACGCCGGAGTCCCGGGTTCGAGGCCCGGTCGGGTCGAGTGGGACCTGGGTGGAGGGGTTACATAGGCCTACTAGACTTTTGTGTGTGTGTGTGTGTGTGTGTGTGTGTGTATTTGTTTTCTGATTTTAACTATAAAGACCGTTGCCGTGCTTGCATCACTCCCTTACTTCTCCTATAGTCCCTATGGCCACTTGGCCTGCGTGAATGTAAATGGAAAAAAAAGGTTTTGAGGTAGAGTTGTAATTATTCGTTACATTTATATAGCCCTTTTCTAGGTACTAGTAATTAATAGATCTGTTTAGAAGTGGACTTTTCCTATAACCACGTTCCTGTAATTGAATGATCCTGTAATGGCGCTCGCACTGCTCATTTCATTGTGTACTGTGAGTAGCGTGGACGCAGTGGAAACGTTGGGTCAAAGACTTTGATCTTAACTGCACGGGATCGCTTTGCATCTGAAGAGACTTCCGGTAAGAGGAACTGTCTATGCGTTGCGCAATCTATGCACTAACACCTGCGTGGGTGGCCTCATGCAAATGTGCATGTGATGGACTTGGTTTACTGAGTTGTTTATGGTTGTTATTGTTATTTGTGATTAAGTTAGTGTTTAAATGCTGAGTCTAAACGTGCAGTAGTGTTAACAGTCATTTTAAAAATGTCAATTATTAAGAGATAATTCATATAGTCAATCTGCTAAAATTAATTTTCTGTCTAAAATTCACTCTTAAAAATGTGTAATTAATTAATTTGTTAATTTTTATTATGGTAAACATAGTTAAATTCCCTTATACTGAAAATACAAGTCTGGTGATAAAAGCTAATTCTTTTAAAACT